CTAATTTATTTATATTAAATTTTAAAAAAATCCGAAGTCATCCCTCGAATCAGTCGAAACATCGAAATGTTTCATTTTTTTCACCAAACCGAAGAAGACCCCGAAGCAAATATGACAATGTTGGTCGTACATGACAAATTTTTGTCTAAACTTTCAATAAATACAACAATAAAGCTTCCTTTGTTGTCACGAAACACAACATATGTCGGATTTATTGGGAGCATATAATCAACAACAACAAAAATAGCACTAAACTCAATAATTATATATGGAAACAACAAGCACGTGAAAAAATGACACGTGTGATCTAGCTGGAGTATATAATAATTATTTTCTTTTTTTTCAATTCTTTTTTTTTCTTCACGGTCTAGATCACTCACAATAAATCATTTTACAATATAACAACTTCAAATAAATAAAAGAATACAATAGGATCTCAAGAACTTGAAGCCATTCAAAACCACACTTTTCATTAACAAAAGAAAATACACAATCTATGCTTCGAAATAAAAGATATAACAAATAAATATGGAAGAAACAAAAGAGGCTACCGAATATTATCTCAACCGGGTTTCTTACACCCCACAGCGAGTCACCAGCTTCCAATGGTACGAGATCTAATGGTCAACCTTCAATCTCAACTGGGAAAGCAAGTTTGGACAAGCCACACCAATAGAATATGAACTCCTTGATTACAAAACTCAAACCCTTAAGTGAATCCCCTTAGTGGCCTAGTTTGATAGAGATGTTTCCATTTTCTACCACAACCTTATAGTCAAAAACCCCAAAGAGATGAGAGATCATGAGAGACACCATGATAGAGAAGCATGAGATGAGAGAGTGGGGTGTGCCCCTTATGTTCTCCTGAGAGAGAGAGAGAGAGAGAGAGAGAGAGAGAGAGAGAGAGAGAGAGAGAGAGAGAGAGAGAGAGTAGTAAGTAGTAGTAGTAGTAAGTAAGTAAGTACGTAGTAAGTTAGTAAGTAGTAGTAAGTAAGTAAGTAGTAGTA